TGGATATGGAATTTAACAGCCACGAGAGAACAAGGTTGTTCGCTCGATTCCAAGCATGTTTGATGTAGTACTGGGGTACCCAGTATTTCGCTCCAGCCCCCAGTACTCCTGCTGCAGTTAATTAATTTGGGCTGAATTTATTTAAGTGGACGAATGGGCTAAGTGGACATATATTTGGGCTGAATTTATGCAGAATTAATGTGAAGGGGGTCCAGTTTATTGGAGTTGAAAGAAAAAACGTGTAGAAAAAGAAGAGAGACATATTATTGAAAAAGGGGAGCTGGCGGCTGGAATAAAAAAAAAAAGAAAAAGAGAGGGTCACGCGAAAAGAGAGCAGAAGGGAGTTGGACATAGTTACGGGTGCAGAGAATTCACGCCCATTCACGCAAGAACGAAAAGGAGAACAGAACTTGAAGACGCAGAGAGCCCGATCAATTGCGGAGGGAGGCCGCACCCGCACACAAAAGAGGATAATTCTATTCTCTTTCTGTTCTTTTTATTTTTATTTATTATGTTAGAGTAATTTTCTTTCTAGTTCCGGGAAGTCGAACCCTACGTACTTGATGATGTTTGATTGATTTTTATGGTTGATGATTTTAATATTTGTTTGGAATTGCTTGTGTTATTTTGAATAATTAACCATGATGTGTTGAGACTTATTTAGATTGATCACCTAGATTAGGCTTTACATATCTACACCTGAATTAGGCCTTCAATCCGTAATTGTTGATGTGTTTAATTCGCAAGTGGTATCCGGAAGATGGTAACTACCGGGGATAACACGACCTATTTAAGTGAACGAACGCGTCACTACTTAGTCTAGCCTATTTTTCTAAATCGTAAAGCGGCTAATTGAATTAAATTTAGGAAGCGTTTCCTAGACTGTTCAAGAGGTCAGATTTAATCGTAGAGCGTCTCGCGGTTAGATTAAAAATAAGGAAAAATTCGGGTAACAGACCGTGTCGTTACCTAGGGCTAGTAATTTCATAAGATAGCGAGATTTGATACTAAAATTGATCAGACGAGTCAATCGAGGGTGTAGACGGAACCGTGAACTAGAAATTTCTCTTGTTTTATTTTATTTTTATTTTTATTGTTTAGATTTTATTTATTTCATTAGGATTTTAGCTATTTAATCAATCCCCCCCCATTTATTTCTTTTATAATTCAATTAATACGAAAATTTCACAATTTGATACACACTCCCTGTGGGATCGACCATTACTTGCCACTACTACTAGTTAGTAGAGGTTTGTCGAGGAAAAATATAAATTTTAATTTTGCCGCGTTGCGACGCGCGGTCACTACTTTACAAAAAAAATAATGAAACCATAATTCCTAATTTGAATTTATTATTTAAATAACTAAAATAATTTATTATTTATATTATAAAATATAATTATTTTTAATGTAATATTTTTTATTATTTTTGGTTGAATAAAGTATATTGTATATGTAAAAAGAAGATGTATAAAATAATAATATATTTTTTATATAAAAAAAAATAATTTTATTTTTTATATTGTTTATAAACTACAATTTTTTTTTTAAATAATATTGTGTATGTGTTGTGCGTGTGTTTGGGTGTGTGGGGAGGGGGGAGGGAGTGCTGATGTGGAGAGAGAAAGAGATGGAAGTAAAGAAAGGTTGTAAGGTGGCTGTAAAGTGGCGTGTGTGTATTTGTGTGAGAGAGAGATAGAGTCAAAGAGATAGAAAGGCAGTCTCCGTTGTGCGCGTGGTTGTGGTGTGGTCCCATTATTTATGTGTCATAATTACAATATTATCCTTGATGAAGGTATAATTTTGGCATTTTTTTAGCCATTAGATCATCCAATCTAATGGCTATATTTTATTCTCATTTCTTTCATTGAGAACCATTCTCATGTGAACCCAACTCATATATATATATATATGAGAATGATCACATTATTGTCCAAAAAAAAAAAAA